TTTTTGCATAGAGTAGTTGTCCATCATTTTCCTAATGCTATTCTTGAGAGTGGCAAAGCCACGAGTCTTTGACTCATCACAATTAAGTATTTTTTTATCAATAATTTTCTTGCATAGCAAGCCACTTTCATGTCTCTGAGTATATAATATGATTAAGTGCTTTGGAAGTTTGTGAACAAACAAATCATCTTGGCTCTTTATGTCAATTCAGGTAAAAAAGTGTCGATGTGAAATAAAAATCTATAAAGTGTATACTCTAACAAGATTAATGCTAACAAACTTTTCATTTCTGCGAAGCAGAGCACTTACGTGGCTGATTTTTTAGCTTTTTCAGGTTCAGAATTCATGGGCTCAGCTGGCAATGCATTTTTTATCTTGTGCTTTTAACGTAACTCTATTTCTTTCTGCAAATCCAGTAGAGTATCGAATCTTAAATAAATTTCTAGTGGATCATCTTCTGGCCTATCTAAATCAAACACAATAAATTCACCTTTGCATAAGTAACTGTTAATAACCATTGATGCATTTTTTACATCATCTGTATATCGACGAATAATTTTAAAGACATCTTCATATGAGCTACCAGAATTAAAAAGTACTAAGTAATTAGCATTTTCACGCATGAATGTAGTAATTTTATGATATTTCTGTGCCACAAATATACATGAAATATTTCGATGTCACCCATTTCCAAAAAATTGGCCAATTCGATTCTGTATATGTTCTGAAGCGAGACACAAATCCTCAAAAACAATTGCTGTACTTCATTCAGATGAAAATGCTTTTATACTAGGGATTGTTTCTGATGATATATAGCTAAATCGTATATTTTCATAGTAAGGTGCTTTCGGGTCTTTTGAAATTATGCTATACATATATCTAACAAATGCCCATTTTGGCTCATCAGGATGATAACCACAAACTATTAAATTATCACAAGAAATATATCTCCTACCACCTTTTTTTTCTTTATATATGTATTCAGCTTTATCATCGAGAAAAAGATTTGTTAAGATATTAGTCTTACCTGATCCACTTTTTCCTGTAACTATCATTCTAAAGGGCCATGTTGGACTAGCTGGATGAGATTGACAACGAGATGCAACATGTTTATTAGCTTCGTCTATATCCATAAGAAATAGTTTCATAGATGGAAGTTCTTTTTTTCGGTTTTTTTGTATAATGGATTGGAAATCCATAACTATGATTTTTATAAATTGAATAAAAAATTTCTTTTCTCTGATAATTCACTTTACTTTGTTCATTCATAGTTGGTTTATATATTTTAGAAAACAAATTGCCAGAGGCAGTCATATAATGAGTATAATCTGGCTTCGAGTTTAAAGAACAAGAAGGTGGGGTTTGATGAAAAATATTACTGTATATATACCAAATAATTAATATCACTATTATTGTAATAATGACAATTTTAATAATAGGAGGAATTTGATACTTATCATTAACTAAAGCCTCACTAGCGCATACTGCTCCTTCTATTGTAATATCTTGAATCAATGACTCTGGATTCTGCTTATTTGTGATAATTGGTAATGTTTCATTTTCTTTTATTACTAGCTCATTTTTACTTTTAAAATATTTTGCAAAACTTTTAGATAAGGCATAGCCTCGAATCTCTGATTCCTCTGATGTGTCTCCAGAATTCGATATGAAACTTTGTTCCTCACTCTGCGTATTTTTTTCTGTACCTCCCCTAATTACAGGATCCAATATATTCTTTGTTTTCTGCGAAGCAGAACATAAAGCACCTAAACACTCAATTTCATTAATTTTTAAAGCTAATTCATCCTTTGTATTCATTAGTTCATTCTTTATATTGATTAATTTAGACTTAAGAAATATGATCTCAGATTCTTTTTTTACTATCTCTTCCTGAGTTGAGAATGCATCCTTTTGAGCTGATTCTAACTTATTTTCTAGTATTTTTTTCATAGACCGAAGTGCTGTAATTTCCTTTGATTTATTCTGAGTTGAAGATAGTTTCATTTCCAATATTTTTATCTTAGACAGGAGATCTTTTATCTTAATCTTAGATTCTTTAAGAGAAATATCTTTGCGAGTAATCTGAGATGTTAGAGTATCTAACTCTGAACGCAATCGTTTTACTTCATCTATAAGCTGATAGGTATGCTTAGTGAGTTTCTCTTTATCTTTATTGAATCGATTTAGATTCTGTTGCATATGCTTATTGTTTTTATCCAAGATAGAGCATTTATGAGCAAGTTAATTGCCACATTCTATAGCAATTTCTCGATCATAATTTACTTGATTAAGCAGGTTTTCAAGTTCCGTTTGGCTGGGTGGATATCGATTAGATGGTAAGTCTCCAAGTTTATTACCTTCACCTATATCTGACAATATATGAATTCGAGACATATAATTTGAATTATCAGATTATTATCAATTTTGAACTTCCGTATTAATGGATAAAAAATGAATACAAATATTATCAAACAATATTTAACATTATATATCATTAGCAAATATTAATAGAAGTCTCATAAGATTTTATATATAACCGAAGATGCAGAGTAACATTTTTTCTTAGTATTTTTATTTATCTAAAATAATATATTTCAATCTTGAATATTTTTTATCATATTTTATCATTCAAAAATAAAAAACATCAATCTAAAATCTTCAATCCATGACTACTCTGTATCTAAAAATCTATTATCACAAAAAGGCTACATTTTTAACACCTGAACAAATTGAAGCAATTAGGAAGCTTAAAGACAAGGTTCCTATATATACAGTAATAAGAGATTTCCATAGTAATGAAAACCGTGTTAAGGATATATAGAACAATTGTGAATGTCTGCAATAAAATGAGGCTACAACTTCTATAATTTTTAATCAAACCTTACAAAACACTTATCATCCTATACCTCAAAAAGAACAAAATTTGAATACTTTGTCTAGTACAGATGTAGTGATATCTCATAATATAGACGTATCATCAGTTCCTCCAAACATATTGCCAAAAAAGATTAGCCGAAAAAAGAAGTTTAGTATAGATAATACAAAGAGTGCACAAACTTTGTCCGATACATTTAGAAGAAAAGCAGATCTTGAAAAATTAATGAAAGATACTAAAAGATTAGCTTCTATATGCCTGTTTTTGCCTTAGTAAGCTGAGAGCATCTTTCTGCAAGAACTTTACCTGCATTTAAAGTCATATCAAGCCACTCTTCAGTTTTTATGAGTCACTTTTCAAGTAAGTTATATTTTTTTTTAAATTCTCACCATTATACATATCTGAAACTTGTTGCTCTGGTTCATTAACCTCTGTAGCCTTGCTAAAAGTTGGGATAGTGTAAGTCTTCCCATGTAACTTCATTCGAAATTGATTTTTATTTGGATCAAGAATATCTTGAACTTTTCGAATTCATGTCATACCTAAACATAACATTGGTTCAGGTTCACCATTATTAATACAAGCAAAATTTCCAGTAGCTGTAACAATCTTACCATTTTTGTCCTTTACACTAACTGGCACATCTGTATACTATCCTAATAATTCGAATATATGTTTGAAATTATCCTTTATAGCAAAGTCAGAAGGCTTATCAGCTTTCCACTCCAGGGTGTTAATTGTTGCATCATTTACTCCTCCGAATTCACTCATGCTATCTAAAAAGGAATTAGTGATCAATAGATCATTTATATTACAATGCAAGTATTGCAATAACGAAAACTATTTATCTGATTTTGATTCTTTTTCTTGGACTATATAAGACTGACACATTTTATGCATTGCCGGTGAAAGCTTTGGTAATAGTTCATTGTACGGTTCAGGCTGACTAAGTTCTGGAAGCATTTTTTCATTTACCAGTACCTGTTTTTTTTTGCTGACTAAGATGGAGCATGCTATTTATTCTCTTCCTCGTTATATCCACCTTCTTCATTCTCATTATCATCTGAATCAGGAGATGCATATTGGAATTGGGAAGGTATTAGAGGAGAAAAGTATTGATATGTTGAATTTGATTTAGCTACAGGTTTTTTGTTATCAAGCATCATCCTCCCGAATTGAGATGTTATTTGACCGATTTCATCTACTTTTGACTCTATTCTATCTATTCTGGCATTTTGATTTGATAAACGTAATCGTTCTGGTTTACTTGCTATGAGTGGAGGAAAAGCTTTATCTAACCATTGTAGTGCTTCTTCTCTAGAAAGATTTGACCATCTAGGATCTCTCTGATCTGCATAAAATTCATATATTTGTTCATGATCTTTAGGTAGAATTGGAGAGCGAGATTTTTTGGATTGCTGACTTATTTTTGATTCGAATTCGGTTTTTAATTTTTCAATCTCAGCCTTGGATTCAGCCTTCTGTTTTTCTAACATAGCTTGAAATGATTTTTGTATTTCATCATATGAAGGAAATACTGGTTATGAAACTATAGATTGTAATATAATACTGTCATTCTGCTTTGCTAATGATTTTTTCTTTGGTTGTGCTTGATCAGAGTTTTGATCTACATATAAACTAGAACATTCAAGCTATAGATTTTTTAATAAAATAAAAAATTTATTAATACCTGCTATATTTTTATTTCTTATCCAACTATAAAGTTCTCAATCACCTGATAAATAAGTTTTAAGAGTTCCTAATACTCATGCATCATCATCTGCTACACCTAATAATAGTGGACGAATTCGGGTTTCATAGATATCGGGATTATCAAAAGGTTGAAATCTTTCTTGAGATAATCTTAAAATAGCTGATTGGCTAGTTCCAACTGTTTCTCGTTGATATTTTGCATTTAACCATGCTCTTAAAGTATCTGGACTATCAATATTAACTGCTGGATTTACAAAATTATTTTGAGGTGGTACTGATGCATATTTTCCAGCCATTTTACCTTTTATAATTTTGACTTTGACAGCATCATCAAAATCTTCAGCATTTGCATTTTCAAGAGCCATCATATTTGGTATAGCAGGTGCCCATGTCTGTATAATCATATCACAATAATCACTAGGTGGCATTTGACCCATATATTGTGGAATTGGATTTAACAAAGTAGATACATATTTCAATATAGGTAAACATCTTGCTTCTGCCATATTGTATGGATTATTCTGTAGCGCAAAAATTTGTTGATTTAAATTTAAAATATTCTGGCACTCTGCATGGGTCTTATTTTTCTATTTTGTATATCACTCATAGAGTCTGTTTCTATTATATTCTAATAATCCCTTATCAGCTCTGCATTGTTGTAGGTGGTAGGCATTTCACTGATACAATAACTGGAAAGCAAAATTTTTACATAGCAATTCACTAATATGGGTTTGTTTTCTTGCTATATTATCTATCATTCTATTTACCTGGTTTTGTGCATTAGTTCGCAACTGCTGAAGATCAAGCAATGCCTGATCTCACTCCTGCCTGTATGTATCTCGATCTCATCGTACATTTACCAGATCTTGTTGTAGGTTAGTGTATTTACGTCGGATTGATCTTGTTGATCTTTTAATTTGATTTGTTAAAACAGTTCTACATATTGCTGTATCATTTAGGGATCAGTCTATAGCATCGGCCAATTCAGCTATTGTTCCCATATTATTATCAGAATTATATAAGTCTGGAGAATTTTCATCGGAATCAGAATCAGATTCATTTTCATTAAAATTCCATGCCTGTGCATTTTGTAAAGCTTCTCATGTATTTGTAAGTTCTAATCTATCTCAATATCTTAATAATGCTAAAGCAAAATTCTGACAAAGAAGGTAAATAATATGATTTTTTTGCTAAGTTATTTTGTTAATTCTATTTATTTGGTTAGTCCTTATTGTATTTATTTCTCATTTAAGTCACTCGTTTTCATCTACTAATCTTGTTGTATAATCTTGTGCTTTAGAGGTATTGCTAGCTGATTTTGATATTTCATGAATTTTGGTTTTTAATTTTGTCTCTCGTTTATCGAATTTTGATATTAACTTATCCTTATTAGAAATCTCCTTATCTTTCTTTTTATTTTCTTCCTCAAGTTGGTAAATGATTCTTTTGAGTTTTGAGTTTTCTTCTAATAATTCTTCTTTGTCATGTTTAGAAAGCTCGATAGCATTATTTAACTCTTCTTCAAGATATCATATCCTTTCTTCATATATACCTATAACTCTTTCTAAGGTATATAGCTGTTGTTCGAAATTTCTATTTGATTCAGCTAATTGTGATACCACCTCATAGAGTTCCTGGTTAGTTTGTTGTAGAGACATAGTCTTATTGCTTTGCAATAACTCCTTCATGTTTTTTATTACTATAGTATAATGGAAAAACCTTTGATTTATATTAATCCACAAAAAGCCTATAAACTCGATCAAGAAATTGCTAAAAGTAAAAAAATAAAAGATTGAAATTTGACATTACAAAAACCTACAATTCTTATTGATTTCCAAAAAGCATGTGATCTTGACCGACATCTTGCCTTACAGAAGCTGTATTATCAGCCTGAGGGTCTCTATTAAAATGTTAAGGGATTGTGGGATGCTTGTAAGAAAGCTGGCTACAACTTTCTATTTAATGATATAAAAAAATGGCTTAATGGCCAAGCAATGTATCAAAATTTTCATCCTTCACTGAAGAATATACCTTATGCTAGTTACTCTAAAATTACAAAACTGAATTCTGTACACCAGTGCGATTTAATTAAAATACCATATGATAAAGATGTGAATACGAGTTTGTTGAATAATGGCCCAATATTTTACTATATACTATTGGTTATAGACTGCATGACTAGATATAAAGATTTTGTTTTTTTAACATCAAAAAGTAGTAAAGAAGTTGCGAAAGCATTTAAGAGTATATATGATAATCCTGACAATCCTCTTAACTGGGCTCAGCTATTGCAATGTGACGAAGGTCATGAGTTCATAAGAAGCATGACATTAATAATGGATGAACACAATGTTAACATCCAAAGAATTAAATCACGGTTCAGGCATACAAGCTTGGTTATGGTTGATTATTATGCCGGATCATTTGATTAAGGGTTTTTAAAAACCAGTATGCAATAGAGTTTTTCTTACCTACCAGCGAACACTGTAGAGAATGTGAACGATTTGCAAGAAGAATTGTTGATAACATAAATGATACTACTACTCGGTTAATTGGAATAAGTCCCAATGAGGCCACAAAACTTGAGCGGGTATATTCCAAACCATCGATAAAATATAATCGCCCAATAGGTGTTGATGAACTATGACTATCAAAGAATACTACTATCTGATTTTTGCTTGCTCATGGAGAATGGGAAAATGATCCTTTCGAATGACATAGAATAACAGATCCAATATGGTCTCCTAGCCTGCATAAAATCTGGAGAATTGCTGTTAGAAAGAATCCTCCTATGCCTGTTTTATATTACTTGGATAAGCCAGGACCTCGACATCCCTTTGTAAGGGAACAATTAATGCATATTAAGGAAGAGCCTATGTTATCTCCTAGGTGGGTACTGGGAAATAACCAAATGCATATAAGGCACTCCTTATAAAAGTTTCTAAGTCAATGATGCAATAGGGTATTGTAATAAGGATTATTTTTTCTCTATAACATAATGCTTTTTTTTCTCAATCACGCCAAATTTGTGCATTTAGATTCATCTGCCCTTGTGGGTGAAAAAAAGGGACGATTTGATAATGTTGATTATCACTATATTCGAAAGCCAAGCCTAGCTCTTCATTGTATTCATCTAGATGTAATCCCTCCAAGAATTTAGGTTTTCTGGATGAAAATTTTTTATTTAATAAATCCTCAAATATATATCAGCATGTTCTTTCCGATACATTGGGACAACTATTGCACCATCTATAATTTTGTTTCATATCTTTATAGGATGCTTTCCATCGATGCTGATTTTTACAAACCCATAAATAAATATTAGGGTTTGATCTAACTTTAGCCAAGCATTGTCCTTTACGTCCTTTGGCATAGGTAAGGGCTTTAGTATCAATCTTATTATAATTTTGCATTTTTATAATATTAGAATTTAACTTAAATATTTTAGTTAATTATACCCAAAAAATTCAAATAAAAAATTAATACTTTCAATATCTAGATCATATAAAGGGTTTTTGTGTTATGTGATTTTGGATGATAGGATTTAGATGACCAGACATTTATCAAAGCGGGTTTTTGGGTCGCGAAGAGTAGTTATTACTCGGAGCTAGTGTTAGCTAGAAGCTGATTCACACCAAGACGCATAGTACCATTAAACAGATATTGAAAAAGTGATACGCAAAGGTAAGAAAAATCGAACTTTTATGTATCAAAAAAGATGATATATAAAGGTAAGAAAAAAATTGAGCTTTTACATACCATTAGGTGGATATCAAAAAAGTAATATGCAAAGGTTAGCAAAAAAGTGATATGCAAAGGTTAGCAAAAAGTGATACGCAAAAGTTAGTGAAAAAGTGATATGCAAAAGAATATATAGAAGTATAACTTGATTTTTTTTAGTATCTTATACTAACTTCACTAATGTAAAGTGGCAATATTCAAAGACTATCAACTATGTGAGAAGGGCTTCCAAAACTGAAAAATATAGTAAAGTTTTGGTGATACACAAAGGCAGAATATTATAAGGAAAGATATGTTAAAAAATTGTGCTTTTACGTATCACTAAAAAAGAAGGATCGGATAGTAGAATTCAGATATAAAAAAAGTGATACGCAAAGACAGAATATTATAAGAAAAGTGATAAGATAAATTTTTGCTTTTACGTATCATCAAGTAAGGGTAACAATTCGGCACTATGTGTCTCATCATCGGATGCTTTGGTGTCTGCCAAAAGTAAAATTATTACCGATATGACGTTAACTCAAATTCATTGTCACTCAAATAATGATGCAAGCGTGAATCGTTCGTTACTTGAATGATGGAGCGAATACTAATATATCTCTGATGACACAAGTGCGAATCATTCATCACTCAAATGACGACGCAAGCGTGAATCATTCATCACTCGAATGATGGAGCAAATACTAATATATCTCTGACGACACAAGCACAAATCATTCGTCACTCGAATGACGATGTGAACTCAAATTTGTCGTCACTCAAATAATGGAGCAAATACTAATATATCTCTAATGATGCAAGTGCGAATCATTCGTCACTTGAATGGCTAACTAGATAACATTATCATGCAACTGGATAACAGTCTTATAAGACTGTTATCCAGTAATTTTAAAGAGTGGTTAATTGAAGTTGTCTTCACTAAAGTTATAATGTAAGTTAAAATCGATAGGGTAAAGTTTGAGGTCTTCATAAAACTTTTCTGCATGAATAGTTTTATATTTGTTATGAAGAATAAGATGTAAGTGAGCCAATTGAAGGCTACTTGTTTTCGGTTAGTGGTGGTATATGAAGGAATGGAGTTTTGGGAAGCAAAGATTTTTGGATAGTTTAATTGAGTAAATAAGATTGTGGTAAATTCTTTAAGGAGAGAAATAAAGGTAGAATGAATTAGTTCAAATGGAATAGATATTGATTTGTCAATTGTAGGGTTTGCTTCATAGAT